CATCAAACAAATATAACTTTTTGGATTCAACAAGACTTTAGCAAAGTTTCAATTTTCAGAATTGAGGAAATGGCATAAATGGTTCCAAAATGTTTAAACTTTTATTTTTGTAGTCAATAAAGTTTTTCTTTAACATAAATGCTGGTCATTCAACTAATTATAACCTACATTATTGAATGAAAAAATGCACGTTTTCGTCAGTTAAGTGACAAAAAAATCTATATTTTGATGAGTTGAGTGAGAAAATACGCGCCACCATTTGAATTATAATAAACAAAAAGATTAGAGACAAAAATAAAGAAACATAAAATATTCAATAACAATTTGTGCCATATACTTTTCAAATTCCAGACTTCATTTTTCAATTTAACCAAATGTGTCGTGCCTGCAGGGTTCCCTTAATCCTTTGGACGTGGATCCTCCACCTATAACTTGCATGTCGTGTTGTCCATTTAAGTACAACAGCTTCTCCTTCGGGTATTCAGTAGACATGGAATCGTATGTACTTCCTATTTTGTCTCTATTTTTTCTACTAATACTATAATTTAGGTTGTTCTCTTCATATACACACGGGTCGTATCTGGCTGTGTTCCTGTCTTCTCTTCATATACACACGGCAGTCATATCAAAATTTTTCAAATAATATTTTGTTAGCATCATAAACAAAATTTTCAATCCATTTTTTCATATTTTCAATCATTTTTTTATCTCGTGTACATCACATCACAAAAAATATTATGATAATTATTCTAAATAATATTTCAAATAATACTCTACATAATTTGATTCCTAGCAACAACTTGTAACATCAGAATCAAGCATAATCATAACTAAGAATCAAACGATGATTGAAACTTCCAAATAATCACTACCAAGCCCTACAAACTTCTCTCACAATAACCAGAAACATTTTTTTTTATTGTTGATGCGATAATTTTTATTATACGTCTGCTCATACTCTGCACTAGGGGAAAATAGTGGAGTCAAAGTGGTCAATAGGGAATCCGGTGATAATTGAACTTTCATTGGACTAGACGAGTGTATAGACATTCACTAGTGAAATTTTTTTTTTTTTAAAAATGGACAAGAATGCAAGCAAAAAGATTTGATCCATCAACTTACACCGGAAAAAAAGATTTAAGTCTCTCCATAGTGGCCAACTCAATTACGCTGAAGGAATGGTTTAAATCTCTCACTACCGGCCAACTCAACTAGGTTGAGTGTTGAGTTGGTTTAGTAACCACAGACATGTACACAACCAATTTTCATCTAATATTCTCCAGGAAGTCTGGGGGGTAGAATTGGGAAGAACATATGGGTAGATAAAAATTCATTCGACATTTGAACCTTAAAAGAAAGGAAAAGAAAAGAAAAAAACAACAAGAACAACAGAAGAAAGAAAGTTCAGTTTCGCACGAGGCCCGCGTTAACTACAATCTACGGGTATAAACTTCCACCTTCCAAAGCCATCAACAAATATTAAACACAACCGTCTTTTTCTTCGGATCCATTCATTGATTTAATATAAGACGACGATGCTATTGCCGCCCGGCCTGGCCTCAGAGTTTAGACCCCAGCCGTGGGACCTGTATTTACTGATAGCTTTCCTCTTGACTTCACTTGCTCCTGCGCTGAAATTTGAAAATGACGTTTCCACCGAATAAAGCCTTTGCAACCATGAGCCTCACTGGCTACTAAAAAGGATTCGAACGCATCTATCTCACGCTCTATGTCATTATCTGTCTCATTTTTTTATTATATTATTATTTTTCCTATATAAATATCATATTTTAGTTCTTTTTTGTCTCCTTAAGATGCAATAACTATTATTTGAGTAATACACAAAATTTAACAAACTCAAAAAATCAAAATGCACAAAAAATGAGATTTTTTATGAATTTACTGCTATATTTTTTAATTTTCTATTATATATTACTTTTTTGAAGCTGTTGTATTTATTTTTACTCAATTAATAGTTATTGGGTCTTAAGGAAACAAAAAAGAACTAAAATATGATGTTTGTGTAGGAGAAATACCAATATAATAAAAAGTGGCACAGAGAGTGGCACAAGATGTGGGACAAAAGATCCGTTGCGGGATTCGAATCCCATTTCTAGTAAAAAAAATTCAAAAGAGGCGTTAGAGTACCCCTTTAATCTAGTTAGATTCTTTATACATGATTTCTTTAGACTCGTCTCCTTGTAAATTAGATTATAATAATGTTACCGTTGCCGTAAAGAAAAAAAAAAAAAAAACTAATAACGCCTTTGCGTGGCCCACTGATGGTCCAGTAGTCAGGAGCCGACGTTGTGCGATTCCTGGCCTTTTCTTTTGTGTATGCTAATAGATTGATTGCTGCATTACTTGAGTTTGTCAACAACAAATGAAAATATTCTTTTTTCTTTTAGCCACAGTCCCATACTTAAATTTTCATATAATATTTTTCAGTGGGGATTTGGGAGGTGGAAGATGAACAGATTTTTCTTTTCCTGGAGACTGGAGAGGGTAACAGCTTTAAGCAAAATGGGGCTTTTGGCCCAAATCTTCCAAGAAGGCAAATGGATGGTTTGCTTCGACAGGGGGACAACTTCTCGAACCACAAGCATGCCAAGCCCGTATCAACTGGTATCTCCATTTATGGCTCAGAATTAATACGAAAAGCCCACAACATGACAATCATCCCTCCAGTTCATTGGGTTCCTTTTCGTGACGGATTCTCGGCTAGGGCATCTTCACAAACCGTACAGTATGGTATTTGTTTTTTTTTTTTTTTAACTTAATTTTTACAATTAAATTTACTATTTCTGATGACATATAAAATAGTTCTATGGCAAAGAGGCTCCATTTTTAGAATGGCATGGCAGCTCTCATTTTCTATCCCTTTTTTTTTTTTTTTTTTGTAAGAAAACGATCATCAATTACCATCTAATAATATTGACAACAAGAACAAGAGAAATAAAGCAAAATAATAGAGAGAGAAAAGTCACCGAAACGTACCATTGCAAATAATTCTACTTGGTTGTTTGGGGCTTGGACTTTGGGGAGGTGGAATAGGCACTGGCAGAATGTTTATCTTGGGTGGGCGAATTTCGCGCACATTTATCTCTGGATTCAACATAAAAACTTTATGATTTTTTTTCCAAAGAAAAGATTTTAGTTTATAAGGAAAATGTTGAAAGTTTTTTGACATTCTAGATGGGGAAACCAAAAAAAACACATAACTTTGTACGAGTTCCCTCCCTTGGACTGGCAGGGCACCATCAACATCAAGCAGAGGAAGCTTGTTCTGTCGGTTTCGGGAGTGTGGGGTTTGGACGTTTGTACGAGGTTTTATTGGGTTGTTACCATGATCATCATCATGGCTTCAACACGTTGTCACTCGCAAAGCCTAATTGCATCGCGCAAATCATCAGATTCTTTAACTACTTTTGCCTCTTCGCTATAAGAAGAAGCTCGTCGAGTCTCTTTGTTTAGAGCCTTGTGGATCAAGGCACTTGAGCCGACGAATGAAATCAACAATTAGCTTCGAACGTTGCTGCATAAAAGCATTTCCCTCTATCATCTTGTTATCATTTTTATTTCACAAATATCAAATTATATATATATATATTTATATATAAAGAAAAAGATTATAGCGTTTTTCTAAAGATTTTTTTTTGAAATACATAATAGTTTGTCCAGACAAAACAACATTTATTTAGGGATGAACTATGTTTATAAAAAATGGTACGTTATATATAATTGTAATGATCTTAGTATTTGTTTTAGTGTTCAAGCCTTGAGCAGTTATCAAGACGTAGAATGGGTTAATCCTAATCTACTGTGCTAACAGTCACAATGTATGTATCAAGCTTTTGCTCGTTTGTAAATATTTTTGGTTCAAGCAATACATTTCTACCGTTTTGGACCAAAAAAAAATATTGTGCCAAAATCCAACAATATATTGTTGAATTGCTGCGTACCATTATGTTTCACGCATGTTAGTGATTGTTAATGATGCGGGCGGAACTGGATCTGAGTTTGTTTACCTGGACTTTCAAAATTTAGTAATTGTAATTGCCAGCCAGGATGTGAATTGTTGACACTTTTAGTATACTTAATTAATAATGACCAAACTTTCATCATCAAAGCGTACAGCCCTACAAGGTGGAAGGAAGCCAGTTTTCTCGTTCAAGTGACTGGCTAAAGTGATGGGACTTTTACCCATATATTTTTTAGAAGGTGTTAACTGCAATCTTTATATAATATGAGTTTAGGCCTCTTGTTTGGATAGCAATTTTGATTCAAAGAAAAATTACTATTTTTTTTTGTGAATTCATTTTTCAGTCACATTTTTACATCACATATATCAAATTGCTACAGTAAATTTTTACAAAAAAAACTTAGAAAAATGCAATCCAAACACAACTACGAGACACTAGCTCTCTCCTCAGGCTCATCGCTGCTTTCGTTTTTTGTTCTTTTTTCTTTTAGTAGGTGCAAATCAATTGCTTGCTTTTGGCCCAATCTTGATCTCCCCGAGACGGTTGATTGAGTTTAAAGGCTACGTTTGCTTGTTTCTGGAAGTGCTTGGGAGATAAGGCTTTAAATAAATAGTTTGAGTCCAATAATTTTCTTGTGGCAAACTTTTTGTTCCACATTGCTTTCTTTTTTAATTTCCGAATGCACTACTGTGAAGCAAATTATCTGAGGTTCATAAGAATTAGTAGTCAGTTAGTGGGTATTACTTCTAAAAAATGCGCGCCTGCGCCTGTTTGCTTGCTCGTGAAAGAGAGTCGTGTACTATTGGTCAACCACAAGTTTGAACTCGTCAGACCGCTCCCCCGACTTCACTCACGAATTCCAAATCAAATCCAAACAAGTCAGACCTGCAAAATCTATCTGTCCGTTATTGTCCCCTTCTTCTTTTAAATCCTTTTATTTATTGCTACCCACTTCTTTTTTCCAAGCACTGCTGCTATTTATTATTTATCCAAACAACGAAGACCAACAAAAAGAAAAAGAGGAAAAAGTGGAGGGAGTTGTACTAAAAAGCAACAAGTCTCTCTATTTCTCTTCTGGTAGTAATTGAGAAATGAATCTACTTGAAGCGCCATCATTCCTCTCCGCTTTTACTTCACTATTCACTCCAAATTTCAAAAATTCCTGGCACGATCCCATTCCCCTTAGATCTACGCATTCTCTCTTCAACTCCTACTCCTAAAACACACGCCCGCTGCCGGTTGATCGAGTTCGTTTAGATTGGTGTGGATTTCTGTTGTTATTAAAGTGAAGCTGCTTTTGCTGACAATGCCGCCTCCGACTGACTCTGATTTTGATCTCCGAGTATGAACTTCTTCTTTTTTTTTTCCCCCTTTCCGAGGTTAAAATTTCAAAATTTTGTGTAATTTCTGCTCATTTTTACTACATTTGCAGCGAGCATCTACGCCGCCTGGAAGTTTGGGGATCAGGTACCACTAAAAAAAGAAAAAATGGAAAAGAACTACTATTAATTCCTCGAATATATATATATATATATATATATATATATTTATATATTTGCACAACTATATTTGCACTAGTTGTCTTAGGTTTCTGATTTCTGTGGTTATCGTACAATGTGTTGAATTTTGGTTGATATATGGTCCGATTTATATGCTAATAATAAAAAAAGATGGCCTCGGCCGGCTGTGATGTGAGTTTTCAGTGACGCATTTGCTGACGTTAACAACCTCGAGCACTGTGCCAAGTACTTGAATCAAACCCTAGTCACCTTCGGATTTCCGGCTTCGCTTGATCTCTTCGCCAATGATCCAGTGAGTCATCGCATTTTCCATTTTCTTCCCCCTTTTCAGTAACTTATGAACTTTTTTTCCCCCGTGTGCGCGCGCACAGGCAAGTGAATTTACTTCGTTTGGTTTTCTGAGTGCAATTTGAGTAGGTTTCAATCGCGAGGACTTGCAATTGCATATATGCACTGTTACAGCAGAGGCAGAGGGACATTGATTTTAGAGAGTCTGCTAATGAGCAGAGACAACGGTATGGCCCTTCCTCTACCATATAATTTTGCTTGTTTGGGGACTGTGTGGTTACATGAATATGAATGAAGAATGGAAATGTAAATGGTTTCTCAATCTGTGTACATTTTTCTTACGGGTTGTCATTCTGCATTGTGGCGGTTAACTTGTATGTGCACAAAGTCTAGTTTGTCTGGTTATATGTACACTTTTAGAAATAAATTTGTTTTTTTTTCTTTTGTTTGTGGAGTCATAGAAAGTAAAATAAATGCGAAGAGAGAGAGAGAGAGAGAGAGAGAGAGAGAGAGAGAGAGAGAGGTGAGCAGCGGTGGTGTTTGGTTTCAGGATTTGTGCCTAAGGTTACAGGCACGCCACAGTCACAAATTTCATGATAAAGGAAGTGGCTCGTTCTGTGAAATTAACTGTCATTTGCAGACAATTATTTGTGATTTCCTCTTTTCTTTTTTGTTTTTGGTAATTGGACTAACATTACTTTGGTTTAAAATGTAAGTTTCGACATTTTTGAGTTGAAATTACCATAATAATGTCGAGGGTTAAATTGAGTGCTCTTGAATTTTGTTAACTTGATCAGAAGTTTCATGGATGGAAGACCTAGTATAATCTACTAATTACGAGACTAGTGGAGTAAGAGGAATTTTTTGACTTAAACATGTGGTCTGAAAGAAATTGGAGGCTAGAGTTGTGAGAGGATTTGAGTGAACTAGAGTTGCTCGCTTCTATATAACTGCTGGGTATTTAATTGTCAGTTTTAAGTACATATGTCAATTTTCTACTTCAGGTTTTTGAGGACCCAAAGAAGTTTTCAGTTTATTGTAGATAGAATATGGTTCTGCTTGAAATGAATTATCAATTCTATCTAGTGTCATTGCTAGAAAAATGTTATGCTTAAAATGAATCACTAATTCTTGAAATGAATTGGCAGTTATTACTCTTGGGCTTTGTCCAGGGATCTTAATCGCTCAGCAGTTTTTTTCCTATTTTCCTCAAGGTTTTTGTCAGACATTTCAAGATTCGAGGCTAAAGTGGAGAGATTGGAAGCCCAACTTGCATCCAAGGATAGAGAAATAGCAACAATGACTAGAACAGTTCGTATTTTACCACATGGAATTATTCTTTGTCTTGTATTGGTTAATTTATCCTATTGAGCTATTCTGTGAGCTTAACTAAGAGTTTATGGCCAGGAAGCAAAAGCTTCTGCAGCTTTTAAAGCGCAAATTGAAAAGTTGCAGCAAGAACGAGATGAGTTTCAAAGAATGGTGATTGGGAATCAGGTCAGGACATTTCAGTTCATCTGATGTTCATTACAGGATTTCTTTAATTTTGCCTAGAAAATTTGATGCTAACAAATCTAGTATTTTGTTGAATAGCAAGTTAAAACTCAACAAATACATGAGATGAAGAAAAAGGAAAAAGAGTACATAAAACTGCAGGTATGATATGAATTTTTGTTGGTCTTGAAGTTGGATATGCTAAGTGTATGCAATACATTACAGTAATTGATGCCATGTAATTGGCTAGCTAGATGGTAAGACAGTTGTTACTTTTCTATTTTTCATAGGAAAGGCTAAACCAAGTTCTGATGGAGAAGAAGAAGGAATCTAGATCAGGAATGGAGATTATGAATTTGCTTCAGGTAATTGTAAATTCAGAGCATCTTATGCAAGTTAATAAAAATGTTTGTTTATTGTCATTCATAACATATTGCAAACAGAAAGAAGGGCGGCAGCGTGGTACATGGAATGGAAAGAAAGCTGACAATGACTTCTACAAAAAGATTGTAAGTCACCTGGTTTTGTTTCTTGAACTTTTTCCATCCTTTTGGTTCGTTTCTCACCATATGCTCCTCCTAGGTGGACACATATGAAGCAAAAAACCAAGAACTAGTGGCAGAGAATGCTGATCTGAGAGCATTATTACGTTCAATGCAGGTGACCACTCAATTATGGCAATTTTTTGTCTTTTCCTAGAAGAGGAAACACACTGCTTTTTGTAGCTCTATTTGCTGAACTGATTCACAATAAAGAGAGTTAATGAAGATTAAGATGAAGGCTTGTCTAGACCTAACGAAAATAATATGGCCATGACTGCCAAAATTCTTTGAAATCAGTATTACATGGTGCATTCCATTCCACGTGTAATTGAGGCTCATCAAGCTGAAGAAAGTGTCAAAATAAATGGTGCTTAATTAGTTTCATTTTTCATAACCAATGTGATACATCCAAGAGTGAAGGAACTTATGGTTTTTGTTACTTTTCATTCGCCTGCTTAGAAAGGATCTGGTTGATGAAAATTTGATATATAATCTTCCAAGTGATTGCTTAACTTTTCGAGCCTATCATGAGAAGCTCTTTCTGATTGAGCCTAACTTATCTGATATATTTTACCTACAGGTGGACATGCGCGACTTTTTGAATGCACCAAATGGTACATCCAATCAATCTTTTCTAGTTAATGGAAGGCAAGAGATTGACCACTTGCAATCCCCTTTGGGTGGGAGAACGGTATGGCAGAGTGTTTGCAAAATTATGTTTTTTTGAAGAAGTAGAACTTCATTTTTCATCATTCATGGTTTTGCAGGATATGTTTGACCTTCCTCTCCATATGGCTAGAGATCAAATTGAAGAAAGTCTACGAACTAAAATGGCCTCTATTAAGGTAGAATATGCAGATTTTCATGCTATACGCAGACAATTGTTTTGTGATCTGATGGTTAAATCCCTAAGGAATCACTGTCTTTATTCTATGTTCTGAAACTTGAAGGAGCGCATGGTTCAACTACAAGATGCACAACAAGGTGCAGAAGTCACGTCTGAAGCAACAGAGAGAGAACTTGAGCTGGAAGCTCAACTTGTTGAGGCCAGGAGTATAATTCAGGAGCAGGTATGTAAGATTCAATACAATCCCCTTCCACGAACCCTAGATTCCAGCTTCCCCCTTCCTTCTCTCCCGAATGGCACATGTGCAAAACAGTAAATGAATAGATAAACCAAACACAAAAGTTGTTTTCAATTGCCGTATTTCCGGGTGTTAATTTTTAACACCAGCATGGTGCTGATATTGAACCTCTCTATTAACCTATAATCAAGTAATTTTTATTGAATTTATAGTAGGGGAAATTCTATGTCAAGAAGTTTATCCATCTTGTTGCGCGTTCAACTAAATTAAGATTCTCAGAATGTGGAATAGCTTGTTTGCATAGGCATTGCTCATAGTAAATTGATTAATACAATGGTTTTGTATATGCCTTGAATTTGCACAAACTAGACCATGGGTGACAGAAATCGAATTATTTCCAAAAGCAGCTAAAATCTATCAATTCTTTAGTGCATGTGACGAACAGGAAAATGTGGTTGGAAATTTCCCGAGGTTGTTGAACGAAGGGTTCTAGATCTGGATTCCCATTGCATTTTACTGCAATAAATGTTGGGTCAAATATTCATTAGTGCCTTTTCCAATAGATGTTATGCAGTGTTGCAAGTTAACAGTAATGTTAAGGCAGGTGATGATGTTTTGTAATTAAAAAGAGATTCTTATTATTCAGAAGAATCAATAAGAAATATTTGTAGACTTGTTCAAGTAGTGGTTGAATAGTCTTTTGCCCTCTGGTTTTAAATTTTCAAATGCATCTTGTACTTGGTGTTCATTTGCTAATCTCCAACTCCAACTGGGATCGAGCCATGGACCTTATTTTGATTGAAATTACCATATTTCCATCACTATATAGCTTCTCATTGTGCTTCTGTTGCTAGATTGATATTCTGTCTTACAATTCTGATATCTATGATCATAGTCCTCTGTATGAGAAATTTTTACCCCTGTATTGTTTTGGACTGCAGGCTTCCATCATGTCTAAGCATCTTACAAAGTCTGAACGTCCAAGGTAATGAAGAAGTAACTTTCTCAACACGTAACAGCTCCCCCAAACTAATCTAAGCAGCTAAGGCTTGATACTTATTTTTTAAGTAAACTTATGCAGGAGATTGAGTGGTAATATAAATTCTGACAGAGAACTAATTCTTTCATCGCCAACTGAGGTATAAACAGTCATGAGCTTTCTTTCTTTCACTAGTTAAATTATTTTTCTGTTGAGATGATTAATGTTTCTCATCTGTTATAGACTTGTAATGGTCTTGGAAAATTCATTTGCTTATCATTTTCATTGTTATCCATGTTTTTTTCACATATTAGAATCTTGGAGAAAATGGAAAGAATTTTAGACCTTAACCTGGTCTAAACAGCAATGAGAGTTGAAGTTTACAACTCTGTCAGTATTGAAAACTTTCATCTGTTGCTATGCTAGCTTTGGATGAATCCCATCCAAGCCAAGGCGGCAATCTTTATGTTCTACACATTCTAGACGACATGGAAAATAGACTTTTAAGTTTCTCTGTCATGCATTCTCTCCTGGCATGCTATTGTGTGCTATTGCTGTACTCATTTTTTTGGACGATACAACTGATAATCAAATGTCACCAAAGAAAAGAAAAACAATAATCATAGATGAACATGGTCAAGGGTGTGGTTTTGAAGAACTTTGACATAAGCAAATATCGTGAGGCTGATATTGATGTTCTGGCATCGGTGGACTTGTTCTTATCATGCCCCTACGAGGGCAATGATGCAAATGCTAGTTAATCTATTCGGTTATGGCACCCAGTTACTTAGTGCATGCCTCTGTTTAATTTAACAAGTCAAAAACGACTTTTTGGCAGTAATGGAGAGGACAAGTATTTGATGATGGATGCAACCAGGTGCATGCGGCAGGTATGATGGCTCATTGTTGTCTGGTATATCTTTTTGAAATCTTTTGTTTGACATATGGGGCTGTCTGAAGTCATGACAGTTGAACTTGCTGAAAGTCACGTGCAATGATCTATGGTTGAATGATGTGAAGCTGACAATATCTAGGGCGGGTCAACATATGCATACATGTGCATTGATGGTCGCAAGTCATCTGGGCTACCTGTTCAGGCTGCTTGAAAGAACTATTGTTTTACTTCGGGCTAGTAATTGTAACGTCGTCGTAGCTAGCTTTGCTTTGTGTATGCATTTGCTTATTCGACGTATGCAGGGCTTTACGATAGTGCCCTTTAACCTACTGTATTGTCACGTATTGATGTTTTTCTGATTGCAAATTTCCTTGGCAACAACAACATTGTGAGCCTCCCTCCTTCACTAAACCCGGTATATATGTCAACGATATCTGTTGTGACACCTCTGGCTTTCTTTGTAAGGGTGGCTTTTTCCTTAATGATGGCTTCTTGCTAGCTGGGGTTATTTTCGGTCTCTGAATAACACTTGGAACAACAGGTAATTTGTTTACCCAAAAATGATCGGCACGAGGGGAGGGATTGTAATAAAAAATGAAAGGAAGGAAACGGGGGATGGAAGTAAAGAGGGCTACAGCGAATGTGCTGTGTGCGGGAGGGATGTATTTGCCCAAAATTAAGAAATGAGAATTGTGCAGGCGACCTGGAGAGCTTTGTAGGAAAATGTGCCTAAATAATTTGACTTCACCCTTCGTAACGGTGTGAGAGCATGGAATCCCTGGATTTTAGTGCAATCAGTTTCCTGGAAAAGAAACAGTAGTACTATCATAAGAACAGAATTTACATACACCACCGGTGTCAGGTGTCAATCACACGCTACGCTAGTCTGCGTCCATGCCCATGTATCCGCTTAATCAAAGAGATGCAGAAAAAAGTATCATGAATTTCTTTGCCATGGACAGTTTAGAAGCCGAAAGCGGTGGGCTTAAATCTTAATCTTTTACTAAGGTGGCTTGACAAGGCAACTTAGGCAAGCAAGTGCTGTACTGGTTTATTCATTTATATTTTATTCATGCTGTCACTGGAGCACTTGAAAAAAGCGAGTTTGACTAAGCTTAGCCCCTCGTGGCACATGTTAATTGGAAGAGTTCATCTCCAGGATTTTTTGGAGTCGATTTCCAGCGCGGTTGATTTTCCATTGTGCACTAGTAAAGTGGGTCTTGTCTTGAGGCTCGGGTTATAGGCACATGCAGCAAACCTAAAACCAATTGTCAATTTGGCTAACGTAACCTTGAGAGCAAAGGCGTTCTCTTTGCTTGTGTACGAGAAAAGGAGAAATAATCACTCGAAAGAAACATATAGTAACAGAAGAGGTCATAGGGGTAGGGAACATGTAACTTGCAAATAAACAAAAACGATATTTATTGACAAAACCCCGATTTCAAACAATCATTCATCTTCACAGACCTCGAAATAACAGGATCACGTGCCCCAATTCCCATTTTTCGCCATTGAACAGGGATGCTACTTCAACTAACCTTTTATACGTGAATTTTTGCAGAAGTTTTGTCAAGAGAGCTGCGGGGTCAAAGCTTCAACTCAACAATCACAACCTTTTGCACCTAAAAAAATTCATCTGGAAGACTAGGAGCCTATTGGAGCTTGCTACTTGGTCGGAATATATTTGTGCGTTTTGCATTTGTAGTTTGAAGGGAAGAATGAATTCCAAAATCCGAAATGACGAGCAAAAGAAGCCAAGTTCTGTGCTTCAAAGTGATGGTGTCTACTTCAATCGTATTCTGTCAAGAGAGTCTTCTGTTGGTCAATCTTCACGTATATACTACCGGAGACCTGAGGGAGTTCCCTTTAGATGGGAGATGCAGCCCGGGACTCCAAAGAATCTGCCTGAAGATGAAGAGCTTCCACCGCTTAGCCCCCCTCCACTAGCTCAAAGCTTGGGGCTGCCTAAGCCTTGTGTTGATCAACCCAAACATCCAGATCACTCCAAGATCTGGTTTTGGAGAAAAACCAAGATAATCTATAGAAATAGGAAGGTTAAGAATCAAACATCAGTGAGGACAGACGCTGATGTCCCCGGTTTAAACCAAAATGGTCAGATATTTCAACTTGGTGATCAATCTGATGGAGATTTTGTAGCGTCATCTAACAAGTCATGTACTTCATCATCCTCATCTTCATATTCCTCAAACAGTCAAGCCATGGAGTCAACAAGCAATCGAAAGGAGTCCGTTGAAGGTCCATTTTGCTGCAGTCGGTGGGACAATTCAGCAATCCTGGTTCGTGTCACAAGAAGGATATGATTTTTCTTTTCTTTTTTTTTTGGGGTACTTGGTGATTGTGTGAATTGATCCTTCTTCTGTGTTTATGTGTTTAAAGTAAATTACATGTTTTGACAGTAGAATTTAGCATTTTCTTCGTATAGACGCGCTAGAAGCACAGACAGACAGACAGGTAAGTTCACCAAATCATTGTCTAAGCTAATCAATACATTTTATCGTTTGCGTGCTAGAATATGTCATGCATATTTTGCTTTTAACCTGGATGCAGCTATGCATGGTCAATTCACTCGTCACTTCAATATTGAACTCCAAGTCAAGTTCAGAAATGTTTTATTTTTGCAAAATTTGATTGAGAAAAAGGCAGAAAACAGATTATGTGGGATCCCCAAAAGCCAAAATCACAACGGAAGCTGGGAATACAAGATAATTGGATAGCTTTGCTCACCTACTTTCTAACTAGTTATTCATGTGTTGATTTTTCTGGCGCATAAATATCATGAAACCCCTCCTCTTTCCCCTCGTAAGATCTAGAGTCTCCCTGATCAGAAATTCAGATATTACCAGGCGCTTAATTCTGGTTGCCTTTTATTTTGAGCCCGCCTCACAAGTCACAATTTGAGTTCAAGACTTAAAATTACGTATTATGTGCCGTACTCCCATGCAAAAATATGATTCCTTGCATCATAAATACTTGAGATGGCAACAATTACTCGTTATGATTAATATGACTCTTTTATTTTCTCTTTTACGGAATGTGTATTGTAGGATGAAGGGGACAGGAAGGTGTACTACTGTCGAGTACACGAGACAGCCTTTGCAGCTGAAAATGATGGTTCTCTGGTGGGCAACAGAATTCTTTGCAGGGTTTCTTCTGTGGATCAGTCTTTTCGTTCGTATTATCGAAGTTCTGAAGGGGTTCCCTTCAGATGGGAAATGCAGCCAGGGACACCAAAACATCCACCAGAAAATGAGCTGATTCCACCCCCCAGTCCTCCACCAGCAGTTCAGAGTTTGGGACTACCGCTCCCAAAGCTTAATTTTCACGAGGAGTCAGCGAAAACTACCAATGGCTTTAAACTGTCAAGAATGGGGTGGTTTTGGATCAACAAGAAGAAAATGCAGAGAACTGAAAAAGTTGGAGAAATCAGCCTTAGACGTGATCTTAATGCAACAGAATCTTGCTGCTCTGATGATAAGGGACCTGAGTGGAGTGATTGTGATTCAGTTCCTCGTTCATCTTCCGCATCCGCAATTGTTGTGCCCAAGTCACATAGTTTAATGAAATTGTCAGAACTTAGAAGAGATCTCTTCAGTAGCAAGTATTTCTGTTTCAATCCGCGGAACACATGAGCATACATAAGTAATATCAATTCTCGCAAATTAACCAGAATGTAGATTAATCTGTCACATATATTGTACACTCTGGACTGCACTTTGATTTATTGTATTAAACGCATTTTGAGTTTATAAGGCTATATACCACGATGATGTCTCTCTGTACCATTTGTTAAGCTATATCATATGTATTTAGGTTAATGTCACAATTGTACATACAATCTTCTTACTATAATTGGTTAAAAAGTTGTAAATTTACCACTTCTTATGTGTTTACCGATTAATTAAGTAAAAATATTTTCATTTCTTTCAATCATATTTCTACTTAGCTCTACAATTTAGATGATCTTTCTATTAAATACAAAAGAAAACGGTTAATATTTTGACATCATTTACCGCTTGATTATCTTCAATCTAACTTTTTTCATCCAATTGTACCTAAAATTAAGAATGGGGCAATCTTTTCGTTCTTTCTTCTTGTGAGTTATGACAAACAAAAAGACAATCAATTAATCATAAACTTCACTTTTATCATTTCCAAAACGTGACAAAGCTGACATGTATTTTTGGGAAGTGCACTATCCAAATCAAAACGGGCCTATTTCATCCGGCCAACCCATTGATGCAGTGGGCCTCGTTTTACCACTTCCCATAAACATGCCCACCAATTTTTAGCGGGAAAGCAGAATGAAAATGGCGGGAATCGTAAATATGTTATCCATAACTATGATCAGTCCTCTTCATTCGTCCACCGACGTATCTGCCATAAGGAAAAAAAATAACAAAGAAGAAGAAGACAAGAAGAAATGTTCTCCAGCAGCCAGATAGATGTCGCCGGCGGCGGCTTTTCTTCTTCACAAGCCACTGACTCATCCCGCTCCTCAGCCAAGGTCAAATTCTACTTTATCCCATTTTCTTTCATTTCACAATTTTCTTTATTATTTTGTTATTTACTCTTTTTTTTGAATATTTGGACACATTTGAAAAAAAAGAGTCGAGATGCACAGCCGATGGTTCCGGTAACGGTGAAGCAAATAAGCGATGCAGTACTATCAACTGATGACAAATCAAGCTTTAAGATCGACGGAGTTGATGTAAAAAATGTGGGTTTAGTTTTTGTATCCCTTTGAAAATTGTTTTCTTACCTTTTTTTTTCACAATATTTGATTTTTAATATATGAAGATACCTGATTTGTATCGGGTTTCAGGTGATGTTGGTGGGAATGGCATTTAACAAATCTGAAAAGGTTACGGATGTCCAATTTGAGATTGATGATGGGACTGGCCGTATTGGTTGCCTTAGATGGTATACTATTTACCATTCACTTCACATTTAGCTCTCTGTCAGTTTGTATAAGGGGGTTAGGACAATGTCTAAATTCAAATGTTCATTTGAAATTTTTTTTAACTCAGATTCCAATTTGATGTGGACAGCCATTCACTCTTTTGGGAAATTGGATGCCCTTGACGTGCTTCATATTAATAGTAATAGCTAGAATATTCATGGCGTATGGAATCTTATGTTTGATTTCGCTGTCAAGAAATTACTTGCATCTTGGAAATTAAGGTAATCAGAAGTAACGGGAGGAAATTATATCAGAGGGTCAAATAGCCTCAGTTTTCATCATTTGATATGTAAACCATGAATGCCTGATTCCTGTTATGTGTGTAGAAATGTTAAAAACATATACCAATATGCTTTATGTTTTCTTAGGTTCTACTAACGCTTAACCTTAGATAAGTTAGTCTTGCGTCAAGTTGATCATCTTGACAACCTGTATTAGAGGTTGTTAGTTTGTTACTAACCAAGCATTAATGCTGTGACAGTGTGGGAAATCAGATGGCTAATGGCATTGTTGGTTGTTTACTGCAAGTGTAGTTTATATTGAAGTTCATCTTTGGCTAAGTATGTATTCATGTTATACATTGCAGGATCAATGACGCCGTGGACACCAAGGAAGTCGGGAGAATAGAGTATGATCTCCGACTTTGTTAGTTCTGCTTCTTTTACATTTAACTTCAAACCATGTTTTTTGTTTGAATTATAGGGATGGGAAGTATGTTCGAGTGCATGGACTTTTGAGAGCATTGCAAGGCAAAAAGCAACTACAGGTCTTTGCCATCAGGTAGGCATCATTTTGCAATTTAATATGAGCTTTATTCAAATTTTTTTCTGAGAAATAAAAATTCTTGGCCTGAGCTGTCGCTATTTGAGTTATATTGTCCTCATTTAAGATTATTAAACGATTTGAAAATGACATCTATCTAATTGTAGCATTAATAGCAACTCGGTGTTGGATGCTTTTTCTTTTGCTGGAATCGGAGGTGAAAACTTTAGGAAATTTGTTCAATTGGATTGCGTATTTTTTGAGGAGATCAATCTTTATGTTCATGTTATATTTTTTCTATTGTCATGCCATAATTGCACATTGGCTAGCTAATAGAGTGTCCATAGATGACTAATATTTTGCCATTTTTGTATACCAATGGTTGAATTTTTTCTTGATTTCAGGCCTCTGAATAACTATGATGAGCTCTCAAGCCACTTTCTCGCCTGCATACATTACCACAGCTTTAACACCAGACGGGTATAAATACAACTTTTGCTTGTTATCTGTTTCAACAATGCGTAGCATGCAGTTATTGAATAGGTTATACTTGTTAATTATTTCATCTTCTAATATATTGTCAAATATACATGGCGCAGAATGGAGTCACTGCCCCTTCTCAAGTTCATAATCCAATTTCAGCAGTTAGCACTCCTGTGAATGGACACAAGAGCTCCTCTTCAAATCAAGTCAGTTGACATTAATACTCGCCTAGCATTAGATTACTTGATCTTTATAATGTTTCTGATTCGTTCTTCTGGACTTCTCAGTTCTATGGAGAATATAGCACGGATGGACTCAAGGGCATTGATAAAATGGTGATAGAGTACTTGGAACAACCTTCCTCAGTGTAAGTCATAAAAGTTGATGCAAATGGTCTGCACCGCATAGAAACGTAAATAACTGTCACTGGAATAGTTTGTCTAGATGGGCTGCATGACCGGTGTAATTTGCTCCGGAATATATTGCTAACAGCGCGGAACAGGGAAATGGCTAGCGCAATTTGTTTTTCACTAGAAAATGGATTGTCTTCATCTTCGATTTGAAAATTAAATAACTACTTGATATTCTTCCGAGTCCGTTTATTTAAAATTTGAGTTTGTACATGGTCTTTTTTTATGCTTATTGACTTGAGCTATTCCCATGTTCCAGGGCTCAGGAAAAGGGAGTTCACAGGAATGAAATTGCCCAGCACCTCAAAATTCCTCTGGAAAAGATCTTGTACTTACCCTCTCTCTCTCTCTCTCCCTCTCTGCTTGCGTGCGGATATAGTAATGAAAGCAACTCACCAGTTTTCTTTCCCCCCTTTTGTCAATGTTGTAGGGAGACTATTGAGTCCCTAGAATCAGAAGGGCTGATTTACTCAACAATTGATGAATGTCATTACAAGTCCACTACCTGTGGTTGAAGTCATGACATGCATATGCCCCAGATCAATGCGAGGATTGATAGCAAGATCATCATGCACCCATGCTTGCACTCATTTACTTAGGTTGGATGTCCTATTTTGTTAGTAGTAGAGTTGAAAAGGGAACATCGGCTCCATGATAAGTAAAATCCAGCAGACTTTTGTACGCTCGAAAAGTTTCCAACCTTATTTAGATAGCCCGTGTTTTGGCTCTGTCTGTTCTGATGTAAAGGGTAAAACAACTTACTGCTCTCTTAGGATTGAACTTCACCTTGAAAACTTTGCAGTAAATGATTGATCAAAGACTTAAAATCCGTTGCAGCTTCTGTTTTGCAGCCGCAATATGATGTCTCAAAGGATGAAGGATTATTAGATTCTGTCGTCCTTTAGAAGTTAAAGTTAAACCCGGCTAAAGGGCTCCACCTTCATTAAATCAAAATGCTAGAGCTAGACCAATTATTCATATATTGCTTCATAATCCTTCGCAAGTGCAGTCTGATTTGAGTGTGAGAAGTTACGCAACTTTTTCTTCCCTCACGTGGAAAGTTGGAAGTCGGAACCTTGTTAGCTAAGTACATTTGGTTCCGCAGGTGGCATTGTGGTATTATCAAACACCCAAAGCCTTTACTTTTTGTTTATTATGTGAATGGTAAATTATAACATTTTGACAAAAAAAAAAAAGAGAAGAAAATGGCAAATTATTACTTGGTGAAAGTGCATTAGATATTCAAAGAGTTATTCATCATGTCAATGATAAAATTGAAATGCAACCAATGATTTGTGATAACCTGAGGCTTTGTTTGTCTTGGAGGGAAAGGAATGGAAGGAATATGGTATTTTTTGTTTGGATTCTTGTGCAAATGTCATGGCCCTTGACTTACAACTTCAGCCTACCAATTGGGCCTACTCGGACTGGTTTTGATAGGCCCATTTTTTGACCATTTTAAAAATGCTAAAAAACTTTTTAGGCCATGCCCAGCCCAAATGATTAAAACCCGGATGCTTCCTATTTCCAATTATTCTTAGTTTTTATTTATAACCATGTGTGATTTATACAGTGGATTCAGATTAACAAGTGGGTGGTCGGAAACTTAATTTTAGTGGACTTAATTTTGTAAAGGACGCAAAGTCAGCAACATTTTAGAAGTGAGAGACAAAAATAATCATTTAACAAAATGTGGGAACACAAATTGCTACTCGTGGCCACTTGGTTTGACTAGTCAATGAACCACGAACGTGCTTTAATGGAGTTGAATTCGATTACAAGTATTTTTTAGCAAGAATTTTCACAAACTACACTTATGCGAATTCCACAAGTACAATCAAAGTACAATTGCTGATTTCTGACTGCACCCATGAAACGATTACGAGTATCGAACCACTTAATTTTCGACGCCACATGGCTACTAATAAATTTCTGATACTCCTTCAGTTTACGCTTAGGTACGTTGCAGTTTTATTTCTTAGTACGTGTTATTTGTCTTGCAGTTTAGCGTTAATTTCTTTGTCGATCCTTTTTGCAGTCTCCTGTTTTCCTTGGAAGAGTAAACAGAGCATTAGATGAAATAATAAAATTGTACTAGCATACATTGGGTTGCTTAATGGTTATTATTG